TCCTGCCTGACAGTTTTGACGAACACTTTCTCTCCAACTTCAAAGGACCTTGCCCTTCCCCTATGCCTATCCGAACTCTCCTTCTGTCTGTCCAGGTTCGTGTCAATACGAGCGTTGAGGTTAGGTTTGAGAAGTGCGAGCCTAGTTTTAGGTTTCCAGTTGAGAAACAATTCTGCCGGGGTAAGTCCGGTTACAGTGTTAGGTGTATTTCTGTATGTCATTAGGAAGTTATCAAGTTTATGTTGCAAAGTCAGAGAACCAGTACCACCTTCACTCAACACCTGTCTCAACAGGTTCTTCTTCACTTCTTGAACGCACCGCTCGGCCGCACCATTTGACGCAGGATGATAAGGAGGTGATAAGACAAACCTTACTCCATTCTTCTTTAAGAATTCTTTGAACTCAAAACTTGTAAAAGAAGGGCCATTATCAGATACTAGAGTGTCCGGAAGCCCATACGATGCAAAAAGTGAACGGAGACGCTCAATGGTCTTGAGAGAACTAGTAGATTTCATAACAAACACCTCGATCCACTTGGAAAAACTGTCTACTAGTACTAACATTTGTTGCCTAGAATTAGTATCTTCAGCGAAATCTATGTGCACCCGTTGCCATCTGCCATACACACGGGGCCACTGTTGGAGAGGGACTTTTGGAGCTGCATTCCTCGTACACTGACAAATATAACAAGAAGACACTGTTTCTTCAATACCTTGTTCTATACCGGGCCACCACACATAGCTACGTGATAACAGCTTCATCCGTGTAATGCCTGGATGTTGATCATGAAGCAATTCTAAAACTTGATTCCTCAATTTTGTCGGAATGACCACACGGGCCCCCCACAGAAGACAATTACTATCCACAGAAAGTTCATCTTTCCTTTTTACAAAAGGCAATAACTCTTTATCCACAGCACCATGCCAGCCGTGCCAAACATAATCTCTTACTTTAGATAATATAGGATCAGTACCAGTGAATTTAGCAATTTCCTTAGAAGTGATAGGTGATTCAGTACTCACCGTGCTGAAGCAGTTTAGTACCTCCACGCATTCCTGAGTGTGCGAGATAAAGTTGTTTTCCAGTTCCAGTGAATCACTTGCCGGTAACGGCAACCGGGATAAGGCATCGGCATGTGGAACATCAGACGCCTTGCGATATCTCACTTCGAAGTCATACGAAGCCAAAATCAGGGCCCATCTCTGTAGGCGCGCTGCGGCTAGGCTTGGGGTTCCTCGCTTTGAGCCAAAGATAGTAGCCAACGGCTGGTGGTCACTCTGTAATATGACATGTTTTCTCCCGTAAATATACTTATGAAATTTCTTAGCACCAAATACTAATGCTAGAGCTTCCCTATGAAGCTGAGAATAATTGTTCTCACTTTGACTTAGAGTTTTAGAGGCGAAAGCAATAGGCCTCTCTTCGCCATCAATCAAATGGGACAACACCGCCCCCACGCCTCGAGGGCTTGCATCACATGTAAGCACTAGTGGCTTATTGACATCATAATGTACAAGAATATCAGAAGATAACACCCAGTGTTTACTCTGTTTAAAAGTTTCAGCACATTTCCTAGACCAAACAAAAGGAACATCCTTTTTCAACAACTCATAGAAACAGTTCAGCTTATCAGAGAGATTGGAAATAAATCTACCATAGTAATTAATGAGTCCTATATATGATCTCAACTCCTCCTTACTTGCTGGTTCCGGGGCATCCTTGATGGCTTCCACTAGCCCTTCTCGTGGACTTATACCTTCAGCCGACAACCTATAACCTAAATAGTCTACAACAGGTTGTAAAAATTTGCATTTACTATCGTTAACCTTCACTCCATATTCTTGGAAGCGTTGAAGAACTTGTTCCAACCTAGACACTGCTTCAGGGTATGAATGTCCGCCAATCAAGACATCATCAAGGTACGCTACCGTACCGGGAAGATTTTTAATTATCTCATCAATAGCTGCCTGAAACAAAGCAGGTGCACTGGATAGGCCATATGGCAAACGAGTAAGACGAAATAATCCTTTATGTGTTGCCAAGGTTAACAACTCCTGTGAATCCTCAGCGACCTCCAGTTGAAGATAGGCTGTCTGTAAATCAATAACAGAGAACACAGAACAACCAGATAATGAAGCAAAAATATCCTCGGGTTGAGGTAAAGGATAGTGTTCAGTTTGGATAACTTGGTTTAACGTTACCTTAAAGTCCCCGCATAGCCTAACTCCTGTAGGCTTGGGCACAACAACCAGTGGGGTTGCCCAGTCGGAACTCAAAACAGGATAAGCAATTCCATCATCCACCATCTTGTCTATTTCCTCTTCCACTTGTTTGCGAAGAGCGAACGGCACTGGACGAAATTTGCAGAACTTCGGTACAGCTCCATCTTTCAAAATTATATGTGTCTTCACACCCTTGATTGAACCTAATTTTCCTTCAAACACAGAAGAAAACTTTTGCCTTAAATGCTTAACATCTTCCTTGGCCCTAGGCTGAACCGAGTCAGCTGATTGAAGTGAAGTTAGGTTAGGTAACTTGTCAATAGAGTTTAGGCTAGGCCTATTAAAAACGTGCTCGTCGGAGCGGTTTACAGTTTTATCTTGAGAAAATATAGACTTCCAGTCTAAGGTTACATGTTCAAGCCAGTTTCTACCTAGCAACATTGGTTGACCCGTTTGGCCTAACTCTACAATAACTAACGGCAAGTCCTGATAAATTTGGTTGGCCGCTTTTACTCTAACCAAAATCTGTCCCAACACACTTACTTCATTTCCTGAATAGGTAAGTAGTTTTACATAACAAGGCTTTAAAGCCAGATGTGAAAAATATTTACGATACCACACAAAGGGGCAGACCGTAAGGGCGCTGCCTGTATCGAGCTCCATGGTCACATTATGGTTTTCAATCATCAACCCTACTTCATAACCCGCCTTTCCATCTCCAAGGCCTACACTATACAGACATAAGTCCTGTAAAACTTCTGAGGTCTCTTCAACATTGTGAACCTTAAACACTTTTTTGTTAGTCCTAGGCCTACTATCAGACACATCCTTTGACCTACACACCTTACCAAGGTGTCCAATTTTTTTACATATATTACATTTAAAATTGATATAAGGACATTCATGAGCCTTGTGCTCTTTCGCACAACGATAGCATTTTAGCTTATGAAATTGGCCAACTAGGCCTACCTCAGGTGACCTTGAAAACTTAGCTGATTTAACTCCATGCTTGGCACTTAGGCCTACTTTACGTGGACCTAGACTCATTTTATTTAAATCATGAACATGGTTCCCTGAACCTACAAAAAGACTAGTTTGTTTTTCAGCTTGCTCTAAGGTTAGTGCTAATGAAAAAGTTGAATCCAAATCTTGTTCATCACTGAGAAGTTTTTGCCTAATTGCCTCATTGTGGATTCCAGATATTAATTTATCCCTGAGTGCATCCTTAAGAAAGGCTTTGAAGTTACATGTGCTTGATAAATGCCTAATTGCTACCATAAAATCAGCAATACTTTCATTGGGACGCTGAACACGTGAGTAGAACGTGTAGCGTTCGGCTACCACTAACCTTTTTGGAGAATAATGTGCTTCCAACACCTTTAACAGATCCTTATAATCCTTGGAATCTACCGAATCTGGTGATACTAAGTCCGTGAGAACAGCCAGAGCTTTTGGTCCAATTACAGTAATCAAAATGGATAACTCCGATCCTTCCTTTACGCTGTTGGCCTTCAAGTAGTGTTTCAGCCTCATTAAATATGACGAAATATCCTCTTCATGAGGGTTAAATTCCCCCATACTCCCTATTGAACGGGACGACATGGTTCCTCAAATTAATTTTTCAACACTCCGCACTCGCGAAAAAGAAGTTGAACATAAATTGACTACGACTGCGCCATTTGTGATAACTACTAAAACTACAAAGACAACATGGCGACATCTAGTTACACACCTTGCTAGACTTGAAGTGAAGGTCATCAAGACGGAAAACTCCTTGACCGATCGGCAGCCAATCAGGGAGCTCCACGCCGATGTAGGCAGTGCAGCCACCCAGTAACTTAATCTGTTTCCGGTTACTAATAATCTAATATGGTCCTATTGCTACTATATTACAGTTTGCTGAATACTCTGGCAGAGGTTTAAGTTTATGCTGTCTGAAGTCCCACAAAAACTGTATCAGCACTGTAAAAACACTATCCTCCTCTTTGTTATGTCACTGAGAAATTGTTCTATAAACATTGATTTTGAAAACTCTGTTCTTTTTTCAAAGTTGAATGTTTGTGCACTTCATCGATTAGTTAATTGTCTTATAAAACAATAATCAGACAAAATCTCAAATCATGATTATGATGTGGCCATGAAAGACTTTTTCTCAATATCAATATGTTTCTAAAGCAATAATGAGTATTGAGATGAAGAATAACAGTCAGTGTTATTTTATTAATTATTTCACAAAATATGTATCTCATTAAAACTATGTGAATATATTCTTCAATTTATTATTCTGAAAAATAAATCATTATTTATAATTTAGAATATACGTCCAACCAAGCAATGATAAACTATCTCCACAGATTAAACATACTCCCTTAGAGTAACTCCCTAAGGTAGTATGTTTAATCTATGCTATCTCACATTAACTGTTTTACCCGTGCCTTGCAACGGGAAGAGGATATGAAATAGAAACATTTTGACCTTTTATATATCATTTGTTGTTTGTCATTATCATCTGTTGTATAAAAAAGTTAAACATCCGCCATCGCTTTTAGAAACAAAATTCTCTATGGCTTTTATAGAAACGTTTGTGGCTTTTAAATCTGGTAATTAAGTTTCAAGTTTCAAGTCTACATCAAAGGAACCTTTTACTTATAAATTTAAAGAATTGGTGCACAACTAAACAATGACCAAGAGTTGATGTTTTACAGTAAAGCATTTCAATATGTTATGTAATTGTTAATCTCTGTGTCTCATCTATTCTGTCGTTCTGTCCATGTGTAGTTGTACATTAACGGTGAATTGGTGGGAGGACTTGACATAGTGAAAGAACTTGTTACTAGTGGTGAACTCAAGACAATGCTGCCAAAATCCCTGGAAGATAGGTAAGTTAGTAAACAGTAAAGTAATCAGTTAAGTTTCATACCTTTCTCATTTAACTCTTTTATTTGTACTTAATGACAACTTCTTTGATTTTTTATTCAACTCAGATTGATTTGAAAATTTTTATAGATTTAGGCTAATATACCATAATTTAATATACGTGTAATTTAGATATACCGTAACAAAAATAATATCAAATTAAAAAGTATGTTTTTGACATACATTACCTCAACAGCAGATTTCAATAACAAGAATGCCTTCATTTCCTCTGAATAAATTATTGTATTCATTAATTATAGTCCACACATCCAGAATCATGTAAATTAGGGAGTTGTTTGATAATCTTTTATCAGCATAATGTCCACAGAACTACAGTAGGTGATTGTGATAGTTAAGGGAGTTTTAATTTTATTTTGTAATAAAAGTACATACAGTAGAACCCCAATTATCTGAACCATTTGGAACCGGTCCCCATTTGGATAATCAAAAATTGAGATAGTTGGATTTTTACCGAAATTCAGAGTATTTGAAAGAAAATAGGCCAAGTCATGTCGAGCTTTTACTATTGCGATTGCAGAATGCATGCAACAATTTTGCGATCAGACGCAAATACTCCTACTGAAAGTTATGCATTTGCCGCAATGGGGAGTATAAAATAGTATAAAATTAACAATCTTCTTGATTATATTGAATTTTAGCCTCTTGATGGCATTTAAATACTATAAATTGGTGTACAATACCTGCATATATGTGATCCAGTGTGTTGCGATATGGCAACCGGTTTCTACTCAGATAGTCAGATACGAGTCATCTTCAGGCCAGTTAAGATGTCTTCTTGCTTCATTTTAAGTTTGTCAGTTGATAAAAAATAATAAACACGCACACATACACAGACATATACAGAAACATGTAGTACTAAAAACAAAGAGTAATACTCAAACAGTAGGCCTACAGGTCACAAAAGGTATAAAGGAAAAGAGGAGAGGCCAAAAAAAGGAATGAACATCAAATATAAAGAAAAGGTGATGTTGCCTAAATTGTTCTATCACTTTTTGTTGTGCTATACCACAATTAATTACATTTTTGATGTTAGCTTCTGGAGTATGTTGATTATATGAATTAGTGTAAATTCTTTAGATTACATTGAAGCCAATATTTACACCATTTTACAATTCATTTTCTTTGGGAGGGATATGGTAACTTGAATGTTGGTAGGATTCAGTTGTAAAACTTTTGAAAATCAAGCTCAGGTCATAAATTTTCACACAAACTTTTTAGTTGAAATTCATTTAAGTTTTGATTTTTCTTTGTTGGTGCTTCGCAACGGTAAGAAAATTCAGTTTCAAAAGACAAGGCCCTTAATATCATAATATATCCTGATATGTATAACAATCTCATAAATGTTAGCCATTTAATGATTACATTTAATTTAATCTTAGATTATAATAAAGAAAGGTAAACGTGTTACAATGGTATGATTTTTATGTAACAAAATCTATTGAAATCATATTCTGTGAAGTAACCTCTGAAGTCATCTTTTTTGGTATGTGTTTAGTTTAAATACCAAAAAATGTTTGAAATAGTTTTATATACTGAAGTTTTATATAGGCCTACTAGTTTTATATCAATGATTACAGGTTAAAAGGACTTATAGAAAAGGAAGATGTCATGCTTTTCATGAAAGGAAGTCCTGAACAACCAAGGTGTGGTTTTAGTAGGCAAATAATAGAAATCCTCAATAGCACAAAGTAAGTAGGCCTACCTATGTGCATAGTTAAAAACATAGCTCATAGCTTTTTGACCTAACCACCCTCTCTACTAGCTGTATTTGTTTATCCTTTATTTAACATTGCATGGTTTGCAACAATTTTGTTTTCACTTGTCCATATTCACTGTTTTTTTTTGTTTTTTTTTATATAGAATATGAAAAGGAGAACCTTGCTTTTTGAAAATTATAAATATAAATATAACAGAAGATAATAATATTACGCTTTCTTAAATAGGCTACTGTTGGTCACAGGAAGTATTGTGAAGTTGACTTTTTGTTTATTTAATATGTCTTATTTTATATGTTTCTAAAGATAATTCTTTGCAAGCATTTATTACTTTCCTTTTTTACATACATATAGAGTCTGAACGTTTTCTTCCATATCTCCTTGTAGCCTTTTTCCTGGTCCTTCACAACATTCAACATGCTGTGGCAATGTTCTGTAGTATCTAAAGAAAGATGCCATTATGGTTCTCTGAGTCTCCAATTAATTGGACATGATGATGGTTGTTGTGATTGGTTGAAATTCATTGCCATTGCAACATTATTTAATATGCTTTTGGCTTTTGTAAAGGTGTACAGCATAAGTGTGAATTCACTGAGTAGTTTAAGAAGTCGTCTTGGATTGTATCTGTATAATAGCACTATCATGTACAATACTAATTAAGCAGTTATTTAAATCTTAAAGGCCAACAAGATGTTGATGTAAGTTTATTTTGTGTGTTGCCAGTCTAGTGGTTAGCGTCTCAAGACTTGGTGCAAAAGAGATGGTTCGAATCCCAGCACACTAACAAATTATATGGGTTTTGTCTACTTTCCCAAACATTGATTGTGTATATCCTCACTACTTCCTTAAACAGTTTCATAGGCGTAGACAGTGAAAAAAAGAGATGATGTGGTAAAAATAAGTCTCTCTTACAGTTGTGACAGAAAAATGTACAAGGGCTTTTTAGAAATAGAAGTAAGGAATGTTTTAGAATTAGAATAAAATAAAAAATTGGTACAGTAACAAAATTGTATCATATACATTTGAAAGAGCAACTAAAATCTATCTATCTATCTATATATATAATACGTGAAGCCATTTTTTGTTAAAGCAACTCCTCCCTTATTTGTAGACCAATTTTAACGTTTGAGGTGACAAAAGATTCGTCTCAATATGTAGTTTTGCAATAAGGTTTTCGAATTTTAAAATTCCTGCTCTTAAGGGCTTGAGGCCCTTTCAAAGGTCGGGTTTTCCCCATAAGAAATACATAGAACAAATTTAAAAACAAAAACAGCTGTTTATAAAAAGAAACTCATTTGCTTTTTGGGAGTAAATATTTATGTTTGTAAGGTTAAGACCAAGTTAAACAGTTAATCAGTTTTGTTGGAATAACAGAAAATGCCTCAAGTTCAAAGAAGAAATATTGAACACGGGAGGAGGACACAATTAATAATAAGATATCTTGTACAAAAATAATAAAATACTACTGTCATGTGTGTGTAATAAATTGACTAACCATTGCTGTAGACAAGCTTTGAAATTTATTTGTCATAGAATTCCGCCGTCTTTGTTCTTAGCCACTCCTTGAAAACAGGAGCTCCTTGTTGTTATTAAAGTGCTCTAACAAGGTCTAAACTGTATAGTTTATTGGGGGAAATCTCCTACTTGAATGAATTAAGGAGATATTGAGATATTATGTGTGATTTACTGTGTTACTTTGAGCATTGTATAGCAAAAACATAATTTTGGAAGTCAACTTTCCTCTTGATTTGTTTTTGTAATGGTTGTCTCTACTGGCAAAATTGTCATTCTAGTTTTATATTATCATGTGTTTATTGCTATTGTTTACTTATACGACGGATGAAAACATAAACAGGAAACTCAGCAAGCGGATCCCATTTCCCAAAAAAGATTGCAGTATACTGTCATACTGAATGGCCAAAAAAAATCCCAGCTTCCATCTCAACTAGTCTTTTACTTCTCGGTTAAAGAGGAGATATCACCGACAGAAAACTTACTTTCATGCAATTTAATAATAATAGTACCATCATGTTCTCGCCAAGAAATGTTTCTTCATAGAATGCACGTTGGTCATCTAGGAGCCACCAAATGTCCACAACTGGTGTTGTACACCAGCACACAGCACACAGGAGTTGTAGGCTGGATTCAGTTTATGGTGTCCAGGAATGGCATCAGAAATTTGATGGTAGTTTCATGCCCAACATGCATCAAACACAGGGAAAATCGAAATGAGCAGCTCATTCCCACCGAGTTTCCAAAAAAGGGAAAAGGCAGCAATGGATTTGTTCAAGGTCAATGGAAGCTCAAGAGCAATGGCTCAGCCAAAGCAGCTGTCAAAATTGCAAAAACTGTTCTAAAGAAGAAAAAAAGGACATCCAAATTAAAACGTTTTTACTAGCTCGCTTTCTTGTCTGAAATTTTGCAATCGATTTTAAACTAACTTTCCGATGAGCTAGAGACTTGAAACTTAAAACATAGCTCACAAATGAATGACAATGCAATATTATATCATTATATTTTCATATTGCCCTTGGGCAACGCCCCATAGGCTTCCAAGTTTTCAATGTTTACGTTTTGGAAGAATGTAAATACAGTAGAACCTCTTTAATCCGAACCCCTGTAATCCGAACCCCTCATTGCTGTACTCCATACACAGTACAGCAGTTCTTTATTGTATACTGTAGTTTAATGTACTGTTTATTCACCATGTTTACAACTGTAATAAATAAACACTGTATTTTAGTTCATAAGACATTTTTTCACTTTTCCTAAAATAATTTTGATCAATTTTAGCCATGTTTTAGCTATTGTTATGTAAAAACAACAATATGATCTGTAATCCGAACTATTCAATAGTCCGAACTACCCCTGGTCCCAATTAGTTGGGATTAAAGAGGTTCTACTGTATATCAATTGAAGTCAGCTGTAAATACTTTAATTTGACAGTTTGTTCAAAGAGCAGAGGTTTAGAGGTACAGATTCTGCTCCCAAGAGATTTAAAAGTTTTAGGATTATGAGGATATTAGCAACAACATCTGATTACAGTTAAAAAGGGGTTGGTTATATGTTAGCAGGCTATATAAAATATACCTGCTATTTTTTCATATATTTACACATTAAAGAATAAAAGTAGAAAATAATTTATAAATAAAAAAAGCTTTTTAATATACTACGTTTTTAAACAAACTAAAAAGCAAGAAAATAACTTATAAATATGTGGAGAGAATAAATACTTCTAAGATCTAAAACGAAAAAAGTGGGGCGCATGCAATAGTTGAAGATGATAATTGTAACTAGCTATTGTATGCGCCCCACGTTTTAAGTTTTAGATCTTTCAAGTATTTATTCTCTCCACATATTTATAAATTATTTTCTGCTTTTTAGTTCGCTAAAAAATGTAGTATTTTAAAAAGCTTTTTTCATTTATAAATTATTTAGCTTTATTGTCTCACAGGAAGTCTCCACTTGCCACACCCATATAAAAATAGAACGACAATCATTATAAAAAGAAAACAAGAGGAAAGTTGACTTCCAAAAATATGTTTTTGCAAAACAATGCTCAATGTCACACAGCAAATCACACATTTACCCCCATAAACTCTACAGTATAGACCTTGTTACTGTACTTCCTGAAATGAAGACTTGGTTAGCACAGCACATTAATGACAACGAGGAGCTCCTTTTGTCAAGGAGTGGCTGAGATCACAGACGGCGGAATTCTATGACAACATAGTTTCAAAGCTTGTCTACAGAAATGGATTAGTCAATTTGTTTGGCGGCTATGGGGAAAAGAAGAATTTTAGTAGCTCTTACAAATGTATTTATATACTAAAATTTTGTTATAGAACAAACTTATTATTTTATTCTACAACATTCCTTAAAGCTCTATGTGAAGGGTGAGCTGGTCGGTGGAAATAACTGACTGTGTGTTGTAGAGTCAAGTACGGCACATTTGACATACTAGAGGATGACGAGGTGAGACAGGGACTGAAGGAGTTCTCCAACTGGCCGACTTATCCTCAGCTCTATGTGAAGGGTGAGCTAGTTGGTGGCAATAACTGACTGTGTGTTGTAGAGTCAAGTACGGCACATTTGACATACTAGAGGATGACGAGGTGAGACAGGGACTGAAGGAGTTCTCCAACTGGCCGACTTATCCTCAGCTCTATGTGAAGGGTGAGCTAGTTGGTGGCAATAACTGACTGTGTTGTAGAGTCAAGTACGGCACATTTGACATACTAGAGGATGACGAGGTGAGACAGGGACTGAAGGAGTTCTCCAACTGGCCGACTTATCCTCAGCTCTATGTGAAGGGTGAGCTAGTTGGTGGCAATAACTGACTGTGTTGTAGAGTCAAGTACGGCACATTTGACATACTAGAGGATGACGAGGTGAGACAGGGACTGAAGGAGTTCTCCAACTGGCCGACTTATCCTCAGCTCTATGTGAAGGGTGAGCTAGTTGGTGGCAATAACTGACTGTGTGTTGTAGAGTCAAGTACGGCACATTTGACATACTAGAGGATGACGAGGTGAGACAGGGACTGAAGGAGTTCTCCAACTGGCCGACGTATCCTCAGCTCTATGTGAAGGGTGAGCTAGTTGGTGGCAATAACTGACTGTGTGTTGTAGAGTCAAGTACGGCACATTTGACATACTAGAGGATGACGAGGTGAGACAGGGACTGAAGGAGTTCTCCAACTGGCCGACTTATCCTCAGCTCTATGTGAAGGGTGAGCTAGTTGGTGGCAATAACTGACTGTGTTGTAGAGTCAAGTACGGCACATTTGACATACTAGAGGATGACGAGGTGAGACAGGGACTGAAGGAGTTCTCCAACTGGCCGACTTATCCTCAGCTCTATGTGAAGGGTGAGCTAGTTGGTGGCAATAACTGACTGTGTGTTGTAGAGTCAAGTACGGCACATTTGACATACTAGAGGATGACGAGGTGAGACAGGGACTGAAGGAGTTCTCCAACTGGCCGACGTATCCTCAACTCTATGTAAAGGGTGAGCTAGTTGGTGGCGTGGACATTGTCAAGGAACTACACGAGACTGGTGAACTCATGTCAGTCCTTCAGCCGTCTTCGTAATTTGTAGTTTTTCATGTATAATTTCCATTAGTTAATACAATTTTTTAAATCCATGTAATTATTTTTATTTTTTCCTATTTAAATACAGTAGACTCCCTCTTGTCCAGACACCTTTTAACCGGACTACACTTGGCGGAAATGACATCTCTTTAACTGGGCAGTTTTTATCAGCACATCGGTTTAACCGGACTAGATCGGCAGAAGTGGGCGGTACTTTTCTCGTGGGAAAGATTTCAGACCAGTGATCACATGTCTAAATACGTAATAATCATTATTGGCTTATACAGTATGCATTTAAACGGTCTGTTTTAACAAGTTTTTGGGAACGTCGGTTTAACCGGAAAAGCCTTTATCCGGATTGGCCTCGGTCCCCAGGAGTCCGGATAAGAGGGAGTCTACTGTACACCAAATGTATGCTCTCTGGAAGCCTTATGTTAAAAGTCCTGACTGATATGAAAAAAAGTCCATGAAAGTTTGACTTTTATGTAATAAATCAAATGGTCAACTAAGAACAATAACTTAATTATCATACAGGGTGTCCTGTAACTCTCTACTAAAATTTTAGGGCATTAGTCCTGAGTAAGAAACATATCTAAATATCATATTTAAATTGCCTGGAAGTCCTTAAATACTCACACAGCCGCCATTTAGTTTTTTTCACTTATTAATTTTTTTCTAAAATGTGGTTAAAGATACAAAATTAAAACTTTGCACAAACATGACTTTACAAAATGACGGCTATTTAAAATTTTGTTTCTTAAATAACTCAAAAATCTTTGATTTTACAAAAGTTTTAAATGGCCGCCATTTTGTTTTATGAATTTGAAAAATTGTCATTTTTTTAGCTTTGTCTAGTTGTCATAAATAATTTTGCAAAGTTCAATTTCATATCTTTAACTACTTTTTAGAAAAAAAAAAAGTAATAACAACAAAATGGCGACTTGTGTGGTTAACTAACTTCCGGAAAATTTAAATATGATATGTTTCTTACTCAGGAACAATGCCCTAAAATATTGGTAGAAAGTTCCGGGACACCCTGTGTCTCCAGCTGATATTGAAGTACATTAGACTTCTGATTATCAGTGATAATAAGTGGCTGAGTGATCTTGGATAATTGAAATCAAAGATAATGCCAATTTAACCTAAATCTCCTTGGAAATAACCAACATTTCTTTTTGTTAAGAGGTTCGATTCCAGTAAAGTTAAGACCAAAGTAGTTTTAAAAACTGTACTTATTTTATTTAGTTACAAAATCACCTTATATAATTAACATGAAGGTATTTTTTGCAGATTGGATAAACACATTCAATTTATTTTAACCAGTAGTTTCTTAACAAACGACCCTCTCTAGTAATATTTGATTTGTACCAGCAGGCCACAACAAATCTGTTAAATGCAATGGGCAACGGCACAACTTAGTCCTGAGCCATCACTGTTAACAAAAAAACAATTTTATGTTCTTTGCAGTGGTAATTTATAATTTATATCTGGTTAGTTGCACTGGCAACGGTTGAATTTTTTTATCTTTACTCAATAGTAGCAGCACTTTTGTGCTGAGTGCGTATTATGAATATTATGAGTGAGTATTATGACAATATTTTGACCAAGACAGTTTTTTGAAGTGGAGAAGCATCAGGCAGGAGGAAAACATTTAACAACCATCTTATATATTAAAACGTAACAGGGTTTTTTTATTTCACGATTCTGAATCAACCACTTGACGGATTTTCATGATTTTTGTGTTGAAAGAAAGATAATTTTGAGAACTAGGGAATGTCGAAGCCATAATTTTAGTTAACGGTTTCAGTTTTGTAGAAATTAAATTTTAATTTTCAAAAAGTCTAGCAGCCGACGCTAACATTCTAGACAAGCTTTTGGTATAATACCATTTGCTTAACGTAACAGCTGTAAACATTCAGCGTTTGTGACACAAATTTAGCATTTGGATAAAAACTAAATTAAATACGTAGGGGTGACGTATGCATACTATGTGTAATGCTATAATAGGTTAATTTATTCAGCAAGAGCATGAGTGATTATTTAAATATACATAATAATACTAGATGTTGTAATTTATGTTTTATGGCAGTCTTTAAAATCTTAGGTTAGTTTTAGTGCAATATAATTTGTATGAACTGACAGCTGGATGGATATGAAAATATTCTATAGGACTATGAGGTTATTTATTTAGTCAATGATTTTGCCATTGATTATAGAAAATAAGTAAGATTAGTAGAGATGAGTAGACCACAGAGATCAGTAAGACCATTGTTGTATACAAATCGAGGTTCTACTCAAGCGCCTTTAAAGAAAAGACTATGCAAATTGTTTTACTCCTCTACTTTTTGAGGAAAGCTTTTTGTGACAATAAATGTTCGACTGCTTAAACTTTGTTTGAATTAGGCCTGAAAATCGACCAAAGAACCGAAAACCCATTTCATTGCATTCTTTCATTTCACCTTTATTGGATTTGAGAATAAATTTCAGAGAAAATATACGGGCCTTTTCAAGATAATGGAGGTTGAGATACATAAGGACAGAGAGCTAAGAGGAATGTGTAAACACCCAGATATATAAGTGATTTCCTGAAGTTAAAGGCTCGGATGGACAGGCTATGTGTGGTGGAGAGAAGATACATCAACTTAAATGTATTCCGAGGAGCACCAGAAGTAAGACGACAACTTGGAGGACCAAGCAATGAAAGACTTCTCCAGACTGGGGTCAACATTAGAAGAGGCAAGGGATAGAAGGGAATCAGAGGCCAAAATAGGGGGTTTAGGGTTCAGTGGCCACTGAGGTAAAATAAGGTACTCTTTAAGTAATAGTAGGCAATGGAAGGTAATATGTAGCTACTGTACCTACTTTAAACCAGTGTGTGTGAATCGACCGCCAATCCCACTTTAAGGCTTTTCTAATTAACACAATCGCTGTTTTATTGTAAAACTATCGGATTTAAAATGCATATCGTATAGACCTGTAATCAGGTTTTAGAAATAGATGGCCACGTGGTATTAGTTTACAAGATAATTTCCCCTATTAAAACAGCCACAGTTTTTCTTTATGCGTGTGAAATATCTGTTCTGGATTACATTAAGATATAATCGACTACTTTATTCCCGTACGTAGGACGGGCCAACAGCTAGTTTGTTTAAAACTACATTTTTAATTGTTTTTTTTCTACAGTAGTACAGTTTTACAGTAGTACACTACATAGTTCATTGCAAATTAGACAATAATCAAGTATTTAAACATGTTGTAATCCCCAAATAACCATAAAAACGAAATGATATAATAATGACACTTTTTAAGATTATGTATTAACTAAAGTCAACCAGTTGTTATCATTAGTACTACTGTACCATGTTACTTTTGACACAACTAAACATTGAACAAAAATTATTTATGGCAAATATCTCACAATTTTAACCTTATCTCATAGTTTGTTATGATAAAGAATGGATGTATTCATTATATTCACTGTTGAATGTTGAGTAATGTTGAATGAAACATTAAAAATGTAAGTGAAAATATGGAGGTGAAATATACTGTGAGATAGGCCAATATAACAGTTTATTGTGCATTAGTTCATATCCTTTTTATAAGTTGTTGTGTTATGACTTATTCAAATAGAATGCAAATATAGGATATCGTATTGATACAAGTATGTCTGAAAGTAAAGAAACGTTAAATGAAGATGCAAAAAAAGAACTTACAGATGAGGAGAAGGAAAGGTGAAAATGTACCTTAGTTATATTTTTTTCACTGAATATTTTAGGCAGCTTAAATAATTGGTTTGAAATATTTTATATTTTTCATGTATCCACTGAAAAAAAAAAATTATTCTATTGATTATGTTGGTTTAATGGACTTGATAGTTTATTTTTACACCAACACCATCAACTGAATGAATATAGATTTAAACTAATCAGCATTTTGGGCTATTTTAGATTGAAAACCCTTTTAAACAAACATGAACGAATGATTTTTATGAAAGGAACTCCTAAGCTGCCAATGTGTGATTATGGTCGCAAAATGATTCAAGTTGTCAGTGTTTTCAGGTATGTTGGTTAAAGTTATTAAACAAAATGTTAAAACACAATGATAGTTAATAATACTTCAGAGTTGTAAACTTCATAGAGTAGTTTTCATAGAGTGGTAGTGTTACTTTTAGTCCTAAAGCTTAATTCATTGGCCATGTCGAAGACTATGAAAAGTAAGTGGGACTTTACCTCTAGTTTTATAGTAGGATTTTAGTTGTACTTTTGATATTTTGCCACGAAACTAATAACCAGTCTAACAACAACTTTACATAAAAAAAAAATATTTTTACTTTTAAGGTCAATGGACAATTTTTTGAGCCTTCTGCAGTTACTTATTTAATTTAGTGTTAAATATAACAAAAATTATTTCAACCAATGGGGCAATTATTTTATTCAAGTGAGAACAGTCTTCTAAGGAGCAAATCATATTAATTTCCTTTAAATTTTAAATGATGAAAATAATCATGATGATTAATGGTAAGCATCAATATCTACTACATTGCTCCTGATAACTCAATTTTGTGCCTTTGCGAACTCCCTCTAAAAATGATCGTCAATAAAAATTGTGTCCCCTAACCCAATAGATAATTTCCTTCAAATACATTAAATCAGAGATTGAATTTTTAGTAAAGTGATATAGTATTTATTTTCATACTATATCTTATTATTTTATTACATATTATCTATACTTTTATTTTCAGTAAAGATTTTGAAACCTTTGACATTTTGGATGACAACTTTGTCCGAGAAGGACTGAAGGTATACTCTGGCTGGCCGACCTTCCCACAACTGTATGTTAGGGGGGAGTTTGTTGGAGGACTTGACACAGTACTTGAACTACAAGTGAAGCAAGAACTGGAAACCCGTCTTAAATAGCTAGTTTTAGACGGTAAATAAATTATTTTATATTTTGGAATTATAGTATTATGTTGAAAGATATCTATTTTTTCTTGGTTCCTTAGTTTGCTGTTGGACAACATTTTATTTTTAATAGATTTTCATTAGTGGAGGTTTTTCACGAAGAGAAGTCGGGTCAGATAGAATGTCTTTTCTTGAAATAGCGATACAAGAATGAAATCAAGTGCTTAGGTAAAAGCTTTGACTATGCACTAGTCAATGGTAAAATGTAGGTAAACAAATGGGAAAAATGAAAGCAAGAAATAAAACTCATGGTTTTCTACCTGAAAATTGTTGGACAAGTAAACTGTGTAACTCCTGCAGCTTACTGTCCTGTTGTTTGAATTTGAGTTACATACATCAACTGATTTATATTAGGCCTACATTTGTTTAACAAGGTTCAACTACAAATTTTAAGGCTAAATATTTCATATTTTACATTTCAATTAAGTTTAAATTAGCTAATTTTATATACAGAGACCTCTGTAAAACTAAGATGGAGACTTGAAAAAAAGGGACAATACCTTGCAGTTAAATTTTGTTCTAACTTAAAAAATGCACTTTTGGAGTAAGATCTTTCATTTGGCACCCGAGCAGTTAGTTAAAAGAGTAAATAAATGGTATCGGCAAACTAACTCACACTTTCTCACATTAGCTTGTCTACAACCCATAATGAGTAAGCGGTGGGAGTAACTATGCTATTTTTATTTTATAAGTAAAATCACAAAAACTGCAATAATTGCTTAGCCATATTTTTACTGTATTTGGAATTATACCATTTTGTTCCGAGTTAAAAGGACTATAATTTTTAATTCTTGATTTTAATCCAAATGCTCAAGCCCTTTTTTTTAAAAAATTTGGTTTTTTTTTCTTGATGTGTTTTTATAGAAAAATCTAAAATCAAAATCAAAATTTTAAAAAAATTCTAAAAATGGGGAAAATAATTTTTAGGTACTCTATAAAACCCTGTTTCTATAATCTGGTCATGCTGGTTCATGAACTCCTTTGAACAGTTGTAGGTTTATACGATTGTAGGTACCAAATTTAATAAAAATTGAACTGTTTTTATTTACTCGAGTTATTGTGCTAACGAACACATCCCTAAAACACCATACGTTTAAATTCATATTGAATTTGAAAGGATGGTATTTTTAGCCTATGGGGACATCAAAATTAAAAAAATAAATTTTGGTCCCGGTCCAGGCCTTACCATGAGACCTACGGTAATAGCTGTTTTTCCTTGTATAGGAAATTAGCTAAAATGGTGTAAGGATGTAGATACGGTACTAAGTTTGAAGCCTCTAAAGAAATGGGTTAGTATGCCACAAAAAGAAAACAGCAAGGAATAGGTACATAATAAGTCTTTACCAGTTTTCCTCCATAGGACTGTGAACTGTGTAAATCACACGTGACAATTTTAACCCCGTTAAGATATAACCCCCCTAACCTTTCTAAGGAAAGCGAGTTTTAGCGAATTTCCCATATAAGGAATAAGCTATTAGCATAGGTCTCATTGTAAGACCTGGACCCAGGACTGATTAATTTTTTGTTTTGAGGTCCCCAGAGTCGGCCAAAAACACTCTCCGATCATAGTAGAGTCCCGCAAACTCGACATAATGTGGACTGGAATGGTGCCGACTTTGTGAAATGCCGGGTTATCGGGAACTAGGGGCAAAAATAAGAACAGTACCTACAATTTTTAGGCTTTTTAACCACTTTTGTTATTTATATTTATATTACAAGTTAGTATTAAGTCATCAGATATTTACAACAAATCCTTCGTACGAGTTGCGAATGATTTGACTTGAGCTGGCTTGAGTTCATGTTTAACTCGGACTCAACAAATCACTAATTTTCTGAGCCATGTAATGGATGAGTTATCCAGACTGCCGGGTTATCGAGTGCCGAGTTTGCGGGACTCTACTGTACATATATATATAAGTGTCCATTGGAGCGATAACTCAAGCAAAAACGATCATATTTTGATGAAATTTGGTACAAACATGTAAACCTACATTTATTTGAACGAATTCACGAACCGTCAGACTATGGGAACGGGGATTTATGGGAGTTTTATGGGGAAAATATGGATTTCACATTTTTGACCCTAAAAAGATTAAATTTTGCAATTTCTTTCTAAACTATTTCGTTAAGATTAAAAAAGTAAATAACTATTAGTATATTGGAGCGTTGTTGTATGTCTAACAGCTACGGAGAAAATTAAAATTAACGTATAATAAATGTTTATTCTTATGGACAATAAATAAACTGTTGTAGTTTGCTTGTTTATGGATATATTTTAATCCAATTTAATTTCATACTAAGCTATCAACATCGCTTAGTCTGCAGGTTAGCTGCGGCGGGGGTATTTTCTCTTGTTATTGAACAGTTAACTGTGCTATATTCTTTTAGTTTGTTATATATAACAAAGTATGAAAGAGGTATATATTGTAGAAGATAAGATATTGTGTAATTGTAAATATTACTTCATGATAACGTTAAAACTTGATCAAACTCATATTATTACTTGAACATTTTTAGATTAAACTATTCACTCAATATGGAGTTTCTTGTTTATTAGGTAAAAAGCTCAGTACAGTTTACCACACACATGTGACATACCTAGAATGGCAAAGCTCAAAGAATTGAGTGAAAAGGATAAAGAAAGGTAAATTATTTCATTTGTTAATACTTAATACTAAAACAGATTAGTTTCTATTTTATTCAACTTTGCTTGAAAAAATTATGATTTTAATATTTCCCTAGCCTCTTTTACCTATCATCATTTAGGTTAATTATTTAGGTTATTTACAGGAGGAACAGAATCAATAATCCTTTATTAATATTATCTCACTGATTATTTTGAGCTAGGTGGTGAGTACACCCTAAATTTTTATTTTTTATGTTTTTTCATAAATAGGTTTTTGATAATAAAAAGATTTACATAGGTCATCAGTTGGACAAAACAGTAACTTGATTGTTTAACATCATAATATATTGTTTGATTGACCAATCATCTCAGAACTTTGGTACAATTTAGGCTTCTCTAAAATAAGGGAGAAATCTTTAGAGCAACATCAGAGCAAACAAGTGTTACCAAAGATTAAACAATACATCAAAACCAACTTTACTCTAGTAGTAAACACATATAATTATTAATTTTTTTCAAACAACAAAAAATATTCCCAGAAATGATAAATCCTATAACAATAATGGATTCCTTTTGTCCTGACAGTTGCATTCACCAATTGGTGTTAGTTTGGATTTATTTAAATCCTTTAAAAATTATTCTTTATTTTGTAAATATTTGTGTCTTCTGTAAATTTCCTATACTAAAGAAACAATATTTAAATTGATACCTATTCTTTTTACATTGCAGACTCAAGAAACTCATCAACAAACATGAACGAATGCTTTTTATGAAAGGAACGCCAAAGTATCCTCTGTGTGGATTCAGTGCTCAGATGATTGATATTCTGAAATCTTGCAAGTAACTTCCATTTTTATTTACTATTGATTATATCTTAGTACAGGGTGACCAATCTTTGCTCGGTTTGATTAAAACAATTATTATCTATATATTAATAGGCAAGCATGTTTGTTGAAAACCTTTTTTCTCAGCTCCTGTATATCACAGGGAAAATCTACACATAATGTTTGATAGATATTTTCCTGTTGATGTGCAGAACTCCTTTATAAAGTTGAAATAGGCTAAAAAGCACAAAAATTCATTTAAAATAATAAAAACTACATGGGCTTATAGGTTGCTATGCCGGTGACGAAATATCAACGAAATCTAAAGTGCATAAGAGGTTCTCGAAACATCTGCTAGTTATACTGATCAAACTTCTCATGTTTCATATGCTGTAGTCTGGTAATGAATATTGTCATAGACTAACCAACACAAGTAGACTTCTCATCCCATTGTAAATTTTGAAGCACGTTTTTCGTGTCTAGTTCATGTACGTGACACATGGGCGCTAGTGTCGACGAAACTTTGTTTCTATTATTTTAGGGTTAATTTTTTGATTTGTGCTTTACTGTTTGGATATATAACTAGGGGACAAGTTATTGTTTATGATTAGATCGTATTATTTGGTTAAACGAGGTTTTAAATGGCTGTAATAACGGGAAACAAATTGTAAACAAAACACGACATCTGCAGAAAACCGTACAGAACTAACAATAAACTTGTCTTCAGCTGTTCCATAAGGATGAGAAATCTACTAAGGGAGTATGTTTTATCTATGATATTGTGTAACATCATTACCATTGACACATATCAGAGAAAATAATTCTATTAGTAACTGTTTTGATTTTGTAGTCACGATTTTCCCCTCCAGAGTATGAACTTAGACCTTGATTAGCTGTAAACTTACCCTAAACTCTGATCTCTTAGGGTAGTGTAAAACTGAAAATAGAACTGTTAAGAAATAATTTTAATCTCATCTCTAATAGTTAGCTTACATTCCCCAATTCTTTAAACATTTAGGCTACTTATTGCTAGTTCATTGTTGGTAAGTTACTACTTTTTATAATGACTGGCTGGGTAGCTGAGTGGTTATAGTGCCAGTTCAATCCTGAGAAAAGTCAGTAGCTTTTTGATGATTCAAAACTGGACCCAGCTGTTCCTGATCATTAGCTTTAAATGAATTGATCCTGGCTAATGAAACAACTGATCATAGTCAGTAACAAATCCATACAGATCATCTCACACCATTATACACTCATCTTTCACTCATATTCAGGTTGAAATACGAACCAAGGTGGTGTCCAAATCTCAATAATTGATACAATTAATAATAATATTTTAAAATTATAAAAATTAAAATATTTAAAAAATACTATTACCTAAAAAATATACAGGGTGTTTGTGAACTCTCTCGAAAAAATTCACAGGATTGTTCCTTGAGATAATACAAGAATATTTTACATTATAAACATGGGTCGCCAGAGCCTCGTTTTCCGGCTGTCCGTCTGTATGTGATTTTCACAAATGAATCCATTACTTTTGAATTCCTTAAGCGATTAACTTGAAACTTGGTACGTAAGTAGTGACAAGTAAGACTAATCTTTGCACAAAGTATCAGGTTTATAAGTTGTACCAATCCAAAATGGCGGCCATTTCAAATTTTCTTTCTTAAATAGCTCAAAAACCATTGATTTTACAAAAAATTTACAAGAATAACTTTTTTAAGGCAATTTAACTACAAATTGATTGACACCCTATTTTTTAAGATTGGACGAATATCAACTGAGATATGGCAGCTTTAGTGGTACGTGACCACTAGAGGTTAGTTGCAGTGCATACCAAAGCATGCGGCTTAAGTCTGCCACAACAATGCAACAGTCTCCGTCCGCTTTGCAAGTTATTTTTAAGCGATTTTAGATTATTTCAAACAATAATAAAATATTACATAACCCTAAAACTATCTTTTTTATAAATTATCTATCATTAGTATGGCTTAGAAGTTGCACACCTTTTACTGTATTTAAATAAACACAAAACACTTAAACTTTTTGTATCAGCTGTGGTGAAGTCAACGTACATGTTTACAAACTAATCAGCTGATTTTATTGTGACCTGAAAATGTTATTATTTATTCGTCACTTTTAAAGTGTACACTCAGTGTAAAAAGGTAGAGTAACTGACATTATTAAATAAAGTCTTTCTTTGAATAAAAACTTTGAGGTTTATGTAATATTTTATTATTGTTTGAAATAATCTAAAATCGTTTAAAAAAATTTGCAAAGTGGACGGAGACTGTTGCATTGCTGTGGCAGACTTAAGCCGCATGCTTTGGTATGCACTGCAACTAACCTCTAGTGGTTACGTACCACTAAAGCTGCCATATCTCAGTTGATATTCGTCCAATTTAAAAAAATAGGGTGTCAATCGATTTGTAGTTAAATTGTAGTTATTCTTGTAAATTTTTTGTAAAATCAATGGTTTTTGAGTTATTTAATAAAGAAAATTTGAAATGGCTACCATTTTGGATTGGTACAACTTATAAACCTGATACTTTGTGCAAAGATTAGTCTTACTTGTCACTACGTACCAAGTTTTAAGTTAATCGCTTAAGGAATTCAAAAGTTATGGATTCATTTGTGAAAATCACATACAGACGGACAGCCAGAAAACGAGGCTCTGGCGACCCATGTTTATAATGTAAAATATTCTTGAATTAACCCAAGGAACAATCCTATGAATTTTTTCAAGAGAGTTCATATTTTAATTTTGAACGATTTATTTAATATTTAATATGTCGGTAGTTATGGAGTTGGTCTGTTCCTAGTGGGCTCATGATATATGCAATAATTGTATTATGCTCAACAAGTGTGTAGGTACTCTTCTCAATTATACCGTGACCGTGAGTCTTTTAAGTTCATTTAGGTTTTTCTCTAGTTTGAGAATATTTCCTTCTCCCCACCTAATATAAGGGATATTGATATGCCATTCTTCTGTTTTAGTGTGGATTACAAAACTTTCAATATTCTAGACGATGATTTTGTCCGTGAAGGACTAAAACTATTTTCCAATTGGCCGACGTTTCCACAGCTGTATGTGAAAGGGGAGTTGGTCGGGGGATTGGATGTTGTTTTGGAACTCCAGGAGAAAAAAGAATTGATGAACTACCTCAACCCAGCTGTAGCTCCACAATAACAATCTTTAGATTAATTCAGAGCTTTTTAAAGTTCTGTATAGTTATAAAGTTGGCTATGAATTAAAAAATAGAAACTTAACAGAACTTAATATTACAAGTCATGCAGATCAAATGCATTCTATATAAAAATGAACAATGACAAAATGCCACTATTGTTCTAATTGCTTATTTGATTAAGAGTTGTTTAAATAAACATTTGCAAACACTCCTGTTTCTTCTCTTGTAACAGCCATTGGCTGTACATTTTGAAAGTGTATCGGAAATGCAAAAAACAAATCTATCTTGCTAGCTCAGATACTTGCCTGGTACTAGATGATAGCCCAGTTAGTGTCTCGGACTTGGTGCGAGAGGAATGGGTTCGACCATAGATAAAAAGAATTAATTATAGACTGTCAGCCGTGTGGTGGTTACCATGGTTACCATAGGTTTTGGCGCAGACCGCTGGAGGCGCCTGTGTATTTACATAGCGTATATGCCGTACATGGCGCTCCCAGTGGTGTGCGCCAGAACCAATGGTAACCGCAGCATAGCTGACGGTCTATATTTAATGCTTTTTGTCTATGGTTCGACACAGTCAAAAAGTCTAAGGTATTTATCAATAATTTTTTAAACAAATTATGAAAATCAAATTCAAATTCTTTATTAACTCATCACATCTTATAATGCACAAGGTACAAAAGATTGGAGTGTCGTCACAATATAAACTAAAACTAAACTAAAACTAATAAAGTTGACAGAAGTAAAATATTTATTTATTTATTTAGATAACAATACTACATTACAGGCATAGAGCCCAATTACAATGCAGCATTAATCTTTAAGTCCATTTTAGAAAGTCCATGCAGTCTTCTTGGTAGGTACACACAACATCACAATTTACATAATATTTAACTACTAAGACAAGATAACAACCAATAAATAATAATAATAACATTTCATAAAAACAATAAATAGACATATCAATAAATAAAGTAGCGAAAACAAAACTCTCAGAGACAGGGGTGCCCATCCCCCCCAAAGCTCACGTCGCAGAATCCCCCCCAAATTCGTTGTTTAAAATCACAAAAGATGCAATACTTTTGAACCATAATTTTTACGGCATAGAGGGTTTATACATTTTTTGTCATTGTCAAAGAGTATAACATGTTAATTTTTAATCAAAATCGTTCGGGCCAATTCTGAGAAAATTTTATTCATCCATTATTTTATAGGGTTTTATGGAATATCACTATTAAAAATCCAAAATGAAAAAAACAAACATCTGGAGAGGCCATGGATTGGTACCTAAAATACCAAATTTCATCAAAATCGGACTCGGACCACAGGCGTGGTCTGTAGCTCTGTACCATACATACACACATACACACACACAGACAGACAAACACATCACTTCTAAAACCACTTTTTTGGGATCAGGGTTTTTACATAAACAGTTATTTTACCATATTAAATTGTAGGGAGAAAGTACTTAAAGTTACGTCAAAAAGTTTGGGATATTTTCTAAATTGTCCTTTAATCCACTTCTGAGTTTGGTCCTTTTTAAATAAGTGTAAAATTTTCAGTCTCAAAAATATTACTAGGCCTAAACTTAATAGTATATTTCGTGCCTAGGGCCAAAAATGAGGTTTTGCTGGTTCAAGATAGTTTTTTAAGTTCGATACGGTTCGATACGAAGTCGAGGACTTAAAACTATCGAGAACTGCAAAACCATTTCAGTCCGTGGTACGAACGCTATTATTCACCACACTATACCCTATTACCACTAATTCACCTCAATGATAATGCACTGCACACTGATATAGTCAACACAACTACAACTTTAACGTCATGGGGATAAATAATTTGAGGAATCAGCAAATATAATAATAAATAGTTGCTAGGCAGCGGTGACAATAAAACAACTCTATTGCAATGCTATGGATACTGATTGTGTATTTAATATGCATTCATGTTTTAAGAAAGTAAGCGGGCAGCTGATTTTGCGGCCCTAGGGATGTAAAAACCTGCTCGATCCCCGAATAACGATGACAGCTGGCATGGCCTGCAAAACGCAACTTTCAGCCACCAATTAATGTACCTATATGTAAAACAGTTTAAAACATCATAGTGTGGTAAAAGAGTATATTACGTTACTAGTCCTGAATCCCGTGCGAGACGAAGTCGAGTAGTGGTTTTTTTATACGAGTCCGGCCAACACATGTTGGACGAGTGACGTACGATAGTTTACGCAATACTACTAAATCCGTTCAAATCCCTATATATTACCACCAACTGAAGGACTAAAATCACTAGTCATAACCTCTAAGAGAGGTTATGTTTTTGTTATAACCACTCATTGCCACCCAAATACAGTATAGTCAGCTGATTGGTGTCCGGCAAAATTATTACAGTACAGTAGTACTGTATGAAACCCCATTTGATTAAGCTGGTGACGAACAGCTGTTTTCTGGACTAAATCCTTGCATGTGAACTTCGTCAAAATAGTGTAGCGTGGCGTAAAAAATAATTATATATCTATTCTAAGACTAGTAAAATTTGTTTGAAGCTCTTTCTAGATTCAAGAAAAGACAATAACAAATACAATTTAATTAAATCAGAATCATGTGTTTCAATTCTTGAAGTTAACGTAAATACATAGTCTATCAAAAACCTTAATTAAATTGTCACAGTACTGTATGTCAATTTCTTCCAATGAATAAATGACCCAGGCATAATTATTTGGGATAGCCAAAATATTATCACAAGCTTTCATGTTGTTGTTCATGTTGTAAAAATAGCAAAATGATTAACATTATCATAATACTGTTTTTTCATGAATCAAGTATATATTATAATAAACAAACCTAAAAAACCATCAATAGGTCATCAAGGCAATGAGACTATTTGAGAATGAGTTCATAATTAAAGGTAAAATCAAACTCAAATTGCAGATACAATTTAATAAGCCAACCATAATCCTTTGACAGCAGTTGGCATGGAGTTGTTCTCACTGTCAAACATGATACGAGTCAGAAAGTGGAAATCCACATAAAAGTATCTATATATTTTATAGCAATTATAAAATGATTTATTAATCAAGATAAAATGTCAAACGGGATTTTGATTGCATAATTACCCCAGTAATAAATTAAGGAGGTCGTCAAAATTATCTGGTTAATCTTTGATGTGCTTTTAACCAACCACTGGCTTGAATCCCCCCCAAAATCATAAAATCCCCCCCAAATAAATTTCTGATGTCGCATTTTGTGACATCAAACCCCCCCTGTGGGCACCCCTGCTCAGAGAACGGTTAAAAAAATATTGTATAAATTCTTGTATTGTATAAAATAATATATATATTCTTGAAATATCTCATAAATAACTAGAAAAGACCTTATCATTCAGCGTATCATTTTACAAAGTATCATTAAAAAACTCTTCTACAGTGTAGTATGGTTTTTGTAGGAGAAATTTGTGTAAAGATGTAAGGGCTAAGTTCTTGGAATTAGAATTAATGTTGTTGGAATTATTGTTGTTGGAATTATTGTTGGAATTATGCTGTAGGCTACAATTTATTATAAACTTTTACTACCAACGGGATGGTCAAGTCTCGAAATTTCGGGAAATTTTCGGGAAATTTTAAATCTCGTTACACGAGACGAGATTTCTTTTTGGCCGAGATTTTTATCGAGACGAGAATTAAAAAAAAATAAAAAAAAAATAAAACGCCTGCAGAAAGTCAATGCAATACCCGCAATACAGGAGCGTTTTTTAGTTGCGTTTCCTTTGCGAAGGCGTTCTTATTTAATTAATTCTATAAATGTAAATATTACTTTAATTATTTTAATAATATTACTTTAATAACATTTGAGAAGTTTTGTTAAGTGTAAGCAGTGTGAGGAATGTTTTATTACTATAAAAAGTCAAAACAAGTAACTATTTTATAAAAATAAATATTGCTTTTATTTTATGATTTATTTTATTTTAGGATAAGTTGAACTCTATCCTAACTGATATCACTATGTTTCCTAATCGTAGGCATTTTTAATAAGTTAGGCGTGATTAATAAAAAAATGTTATGCTGATGTTTTTTTAATAAAAGATTGTAAATATTCTTGCCTATTATCATTATTTTTGTATTTAAACAGTCATCTAACAATGTTACAAAATCAGGTAAAAATTTTGAACGTGCATTTCCCGTTGTGTATGAGAAGGGAAATCCCGTCTCGATCTCGTCTCGAAATTTTATGAGAAATAAAAAATCTCGTCTCGTCTCGTCTCGAACTAAAAATTCAATCTCGTCCATCCCTACGACCATGTATTTTGGAGAGTTTTCATAGAATGAAAGCCTATGCCGAGGAAATTTCAATTTGTTCTGATTTCGTGTTGGATAGGTATGGTTGAATTTACAGTCATCGAAAATTGTAATATCATTAAACATTAGTTTAACAATTTCAATTATGTAAAGATTTGTAAGTGTTAAGATACCAATATCTTTAAATAAAGATCTACAGCTTTTTCTTCTTTTAACTCGAGCCATAGTCCTCACTATTGATTTTTGAGCGTTAAAAAGAATTTTAGCCCCAAACTACTATTCCATACCTAATTATTGATTCAATGTAGGCGTGGTATACCATTTTACATACATCCATTGATGTTGTATTACTAATTACACTTAGTGCAAACCTAAACGAATTTAACTTTTTTGACAGATATTGAATATGATTTTCCCATTTTAGTTTATAATCAAAGTGTATTCTTAGAACCTTGTGGGTATTGACTGATTTTAGCTCTCCACAAGATAAATTCTCCATCTTGTTTTTTTTTTCACAGTTTCTAATTTTAAAGTACATTAATAGTACAGGTAAAATATGGTTTTATAAACAACAAAATTTGTACATTCATGAAATTTCACCTGTGAGTTACTAATAATATGAGAAATGAAGATCCGATGAGTCCCAGAAAAGTTGGACAGAAATTGAGAAGAAAAAAGCTCTCAAACCAGTTACCAGTATTAACCACTTGCACAAAACGATATTTTACAATAGCCATAATACAGCAAGCATAAGACCAAGATGAACTACTTGGAGAAACCTAAAATGAAATAAATATAACGAAATATTGTTGTAATTAAGGACTATTTTTTGGACAAGAATATTGATTTCATATGGTGGTTAACTAAATAAATATGGAAATTTGAGAAATAAAACAGATTAAAT